CCCCAAAACCCCAAAACCCCAAAACCCCAAAACCCCTAGAAGTTACAAGATGTTTGAAATATATAAATATATTTAGGCGAAATACTTGCTCACTACCATTTTAGTGACTTCTACATTATCAATGAACTCAATATGAGCTTCTCTTCCAATATAGTTATCCAAAGTGGACTTCCTTTGGGACAATCAGTCGAGTTTGACTCTAGTGAAACTGTTGTCAGAGATATTCGCTAATATTTTATCCTGAATTCTGATGACAGTTCCTGATTTGGACCCTTTTTCAAGCCTGCTTGAGTATTGAACCAATGCACTTTCCAATGGAGCATAAGTGTCTTGAAAAGACCCAATGAAAATTATCTTTGAGAAGCATGATATGTTTATATCACCAGATAGTTTGTAAAGGAAGCAATCCTTAATAAGCTTGGTGTCTGAAAGCCTGATTTGAGAAATAATAGGGTTCTTAGAGAACTTCTCAGCGAACCACATCCCTGTAGAAAGAAGGCTACTGCTTGTATGAACATATCCTCAATGAGGAGTTCCCATTGTGATAAACATATTCAATCTTTCATCAAGGTCAATCCATTTCTTGAGGTATTTAAGTGATGCTCTGAAGACTAGTCCTCCTAAGGAATGAGCAATCATAGATATTTTTCCAAAGCGTCCCATTTCCTGGACCCTCTCAATTTCATCTCTCATTTCTCGAGCTACGAGTTTGGCCAGTGAGAGGATGCCGTTATTTTCAAAGATTGTAGTCGATCCCACTCATGCTTTTTCATGAGTAAACTCTGGTTTCAGGATACTTCTTCAGAATAGAGTTTCTCATATTTGACATATCTTCAGATTTCCCTTTGTACCCATGAAGAAGGAACACCAAATGGTCATTTTGGTTCTCTTCATTGATCTGGCCATCAGAAGATGTGTCTGAAGCACTGTCATCACTTAGTTCAGACTCTAGCTCCTGCTCGATCATCACAGGGCAATTGTAGGAATCGTAACTGTTTTGGAATGGAAGACCCCTCCAAGTTTCCTTTCTGGAGAAATTCTCGTACCTCTTCCTTTGATTTTTGGTCTTGATCTCCTCTTTACTCTTGCTGCCTCCATAGAAGATTGTATAAGGATTTGTATCTTGGATAAACCTGTTTTCAATGGACTTGTTTAACTTCTCCCAATATTTTGCTTCTAAACACTTCTTTGCAATAAATGGGTGGGATTTGATCAGGTTTAGGAATTCAAGTGCAATTTTATCAATTTTTGTGGTAATTTCATCCCTTTTTCCTTCTATAATACTCACTGAAGTATAGGGACTGAGACAGATGCCTCTACTTGCTCCTTTGCTGAGAATAATATGCTTTAAACCTTGATTGAAACTTAATCTACATTCTTCATTGAATCCAAAATCAGCAGTTTTGAAATAATCTTCACCATTTACTCTAAAAGTTTCTCTCTGATTAGTAAGTTTCAAACTTGTATCAGTAGATTCATCTTCAGATTCATCAAAGCTAACAGATCCTGAGAAGGAGTTGGAGCTGTTACTTGAAGTATCAGAGTCGCTCCTCTCTCCATCAGAGTCACTGTTTTCTTGGTCATACATTGAGAACAGGTCTTCCTCAAGCTTGGCTTCACTAAATTTGGCCTTCACTTCCTTGAATTCTTCTTTCTGTTTGCTCATCTCATTGAACAGATTTTTATAAGATGTCCTAAGACGGTTATGATGAATAACGAAAATGCTGCAGATCTTCTCATAATACAGTTGAGAAAGACTCGCTAACTTCTTAGTGGTCATTCTTCTCTTCACAAATGGGAACAAGTATGGCTGAAGGGTGGTAGGATCACACTTCTTGCTCTTCAGTAGCTCTCACTCGTCATAATCCATGCACATCCAAAGATCTTGGCTTTCAATTTCTTCTGGAGTCTTAATTTTGCAGAGGTTCTTTGAACTGCCAGAATTGTTTGCCTTGACAAATTGCTAAAGCTAATTCAGATTTAAACTTATTTAAATTTATTTCTTAATCTTTCTTACCTGTCTCATGGTTGATTTCTTGACGCACTGGAGGTTGCTGACGTTACATTGAACATAGCAATTCAGGACGGATGTGAAGCCTCCTGAGAATTCCACCGGAACAAACTTGTGGATGCCTCCAGTTATATTACCTAACCGATATGTTTGATGGTTAACAGCCTCATACGTTCTAGAGCTTTGGCCGTCCTCACTAAAGAATTAGGTTAAGAAATCCTGGTGAAAAATTACCTTTGGAAATAAAGAGTGGCATCCATCATCAATGGGATTCTAAGTTCTGAAAAGTCATAGTCCGGGTCTGAGACTGGGAGGTCTATCTCTCCGGAGCTGTATACAATTTCGTTAAGAATGCTCTCTTCCTCTGTAAACTTAATATTCCAGCCTTTAGTTTTATACTCAGCTCTTTTAATCCGGATTCCATTATTAATTCCTTCATCAAGGTTGTTTCTATTGAAGTTCTTAGTCCTGACTGGGACCTGGGAACTTGTCCAGGAAATACCCTCGTATTCCTTTGGAGGAATAAGATATTGAGCATTTTGAGTCTGCACATAAAATTTCACAGATGCATAATAGTGCCCTTGCTCGATAATTTGGATATTTTTGAAATCAAATATCACTGTGCTAATGTTGATATGAAGCTTAAGAGCCATTTTACTATAAAATTTATAATTCAAATTTCGAATAATATGTGGGGTTTTGGGGTTTTGGGGTTTTGGGGTTTTGGGGTTTTGGGG